GACACACACGCCACACACACTCCCTCCATAGATATGCACCTGCCCGGCTGACCGAGAACTCGCGTGATGTGGTGGACCTGCCGCGGTGCTCTGGCGCTGGCTGCCACGATGTCAGTCAAGCACACCTTTCCTCCTAATCCGTGCCACTTGGCCACACTATCATACGTTTACACTTGGTAGCATTCTGTCCGTTTGTTTGTGCAACGGATTGCAGTAGGATTGCGCCATCCTCGCGCAAACAGGACATCAAATAGGGCTATCGGGGGTCAATTTGTAGAGGGTAATAATTATTCTCATGCACAATTGTGATGGGAAACGGAAACGGCTCCGGCGCCCTCCCCTTACCAACAGAGGGATGCACGGCAGCACAAGGAGCGACAGTGAAACATGCTGGCTGTGCAACGCAACCTTGGTCATGGCATGCCGCTGCCTTCAACGTGAAAGAAAAAAAAAAAAAAAAGGTCAATTTTGGCTAACATGATCATAGGAAGAAGAGGAACACAAGGACATCTCACACCAATAGGGCATGTGCATCAAGCATATCCGACAGCTTCAACTCAAAAGGCTTTCAAAGGCTTAATCATCATCCTCATCGAGCACGTCAGAGACTCGCTTGCCGTGCCAAAACACGCGGTTCGCAGGCTTGAGCATTCCTCGTCCGGCCGGACAGGAAAAGTATCGCTTTCCATCCACCTACATCAGTCACCAGAACGACCCCGACACACGTGAGTTGAATGCATGCCCATCACCCACAGGCCGAAGAGGTGTTGTTAGGCCCCCCATCTGGCCATGCAATCCAAACTTAACATTTTGGTATTAGAACAAACAGCAGGCCCAGCGGTTTGGGCCCGTGGGCTATGAACGTACAGTGCCATCGTGTCCGTTCTCGGCGGCGCGGTCCAAGGCCACGCCAATGTAGTTTCCGTCTCCCAGATGAGTGGGGCCCATGTAAACAACGTAGCCCATGTCCTTGCCCACCAAGACGCGAGACTGCAACCCAAAGGCATCGTGCATTGGGGAAAAGGCAGCGCCAGGACTGCTCTTCTGATACGGGCTGCCCTTGAGGCTTGTGGGTCTGAGCGCTTTGGGGGGCGTTTCTTTCTTTCCCTCCTTCCCCGCGCTCTTGTAAAGCTTGCTACGGAAGCGAGCCTGCACGTCATCGGGCGATGGCTGCGCCGACTTGGCCCCGTCCGAGTAGACAGACGTCGCTTCGGCATCCCGCTGCAAAGCAAAGTCGGCACCCACACAAAGGCATTGAGTTTCAAGGCCAAAAGCCCCCACAAGATGCCGTTGCGACCCCCGCCTCCTCCCTCTTCCCTCTCCTTGCTGAAGAAAGACAATATGGCCCAAGCAACCCGGAAGAAGCAGCCCACCTGTTGCTTGGAACTGTAGTGGTCATAATTTTCCGAGAAGCCCTTGTCCACACGAGTGGTCTGTCCCACATTGAGTGTGGGGGCTGTAAACGGCGTGGCCTTGCGTCGGCTCATGCGACTGTGCAACCAACGCCCACGACACAGAAAGGCCAGGCGTGTAAGCTAGTGACTGCACTTGGCACAGACAAACAAACACGCTTCCTTTCCAGTGCATCGCCTTCGTTGGCACTCGAGGTCCTTACATGGCTGCCAGCTGCCGCGCAGTAGGCGTCACTTTTACATCCGAGTCGTTTACTTGCGGGGAGGCCACGCGGCTGCCCAGCTTGCTCAAACGATTTCGCCGCACAAAACAGCCTGTAATGCGCACCGCAGGTCAACCAATTTGTCTTGTACAATCTCGAGGTGAATCCGATCAATGAGTCCTGCCCACTGACCATGCATGGGCTTGGTGCGAAAGTATGTCACCAGACCAACAGTGCCGTTGTTTCGGCCCTGGGGATCGTCGAGTTGGATGCCATACCTATACACCAGAGACCTCACAAGTGAGCGAGCGACTTGTTAACGAGTCGAGGCATTTTGGATAAAGTCAGTCCCCATAGTTCCTCGTAGGTAGCTTACCACATGCCGGGCTTGAACTTGGTCTGGCCCTTAAATCGGACAATGCCAGGCCCCTTATCTCGGACCATAACGCGATCGCCCACCTGAGCAAGAAGCAAATCCATAATCATGAGTTGGGAAGAAAGATGCAAGATAAGAAGGTCGGCCGTCACCAAAACCTCGCTGCCACGTGGGCTGACACCGGCAGTCCGCCCCCGCCTTGGCCTTCAATCGCCCCTTGAAACAAACCTCAATCTCTCCATCATCAAGGTTGGGATTGCTCACGGAACTCGAGTCGGAAAAGGCATCTTGCATGTTAATGGGCATAAGGCTATCTGGCAAAATGGATGCAAAACGAAAACGTGTGGTCAGTCAGTCTCCAATCTCGCACAGCCAATTGCTCGGTCAGTCAAGCGCCGCTGACATGATCCACTGCTCGACGCAAGGGTCCACCCCAACCCCTTGAACCCCATAACCTGTCTGCGAGTGACCTGTCGACGCATTCAAAGTTTTAACGTACTACGGAGGCGGCGCAAGGCGTCGTTGGCGTGGCCTGACGTGGGCGAGGGCTGCATGGCGGGTTGTTGAACGGCTTTGCGTGGTGGTGCATCGTGAACAACGGCACGGCCTTCGTCGGCCTCGAGCAAGCGAATCATCTCCTCCAAAGTGGGAGGGTCATCAAACTCGCTCGGACGTGACAACATGCTACGCGCCAGGTCAATCGGCCGTTGCTGAGCCCCATCACGTATGGCCGAGTTGGCGCGTGCTTGCAACAAATGCTAGATCCATTCAGACCGCGTGGGGAAACCGAGGAAAAGAGCCAAACGGTTAAAAAGGGGGGGAGGGAGGGGGAGAGAGAGAAAACAAAAAAAGAGGAGCGTCATGGCCAGGCGTCGATTCAAACCTTGAGACACTCCAGATTGTTGCCAAGAACAGCCAGGTGAAGAGCTGTACCTCTTTGCATGCCAGTACAGATGGCGTCCACCTCCGCCTGAGCGCCAACAGCAGATGGAAAGGTTACAAAAGCAAACAGGTTTTGGTCAGATCGGTGAGCGGCATGGAATTGAAGGGTTACACAATGCAGGACATGAGAAACGACCATCGGGGGCCCGGGCTGTTTGGGAATGCAAGGGTCCACGTGAAGCACACGAACGCACGTTGCCAGAGACAGAGCGGCTTCGTAGCAGGACATCCATGGTGTGTGGGGCGCCAAAGTACGCAGCATAATGCAGCGGTGTCATGCCCAAATGCTGGCATCGCAGATTGACGTCGGCCCCCTCTCGGATGAGGCGGGCCAAGCATTCAGCGGCTTGCTCATCGTCCCCGACGCCAGGTGCCGCGCTTTGTACGACAAGATGGATGGAAGCACACCCCGACACAGGATCAATGGCGTTGACATCAACGCCGGCTCGATGGAGCTCACTGAGCCAGACATCGCGTTGCGCCAGCGTCGTCGAATCCCAACTTCGCTGCAGAGCAAAAATATCAGCGCTGGTAGGATCGTCATGCACGCGAATAGCTGCCAGCAAGCTCTGTGGCACATCTGCCAGCCAGCCAGGCGGCTGGGCCAGCAGCGGATCCTCCATGACCCGCCTTTTTGCTTTCCTCTTCACATCAAAGTTGCAAATGGGCAAAAGTCAAATCATAAATGGCTCTCTCTCTCTCTCTCTCTCTCAAATGATGGATGAAGTTTGGTCTGGACTGGACTTGATAAACCCAAGATGTAGCGGTTAGGAGTTTGGATTAGTTATGAGAAGATCGTTGTACAGGAAGTGCAGCAAAGGAACACAAAGATAACGTGAGAGGCAGCAGTATCTAGACTGGTGGTTGGCCCCTTTGGTCCAGCTACAAAGACTGCACTCCCACAGAGGTCGCATGGCCAGGCCCAAGTCGAGCGTTCACCAAACTACACGCAAAAAAAAATACCCCCAGAAAAGAGAAGAGGAGAAAAGAAACACAAGCAACAGCAAGAGGCACGATCGCCCACAGTTGCATCCAGCAGGAAACAAATATGGGGCGTGCACGCTCGGAACTTGGACGTCGTTACGCCAAAGTCATCAGCCCTGAAATCTGAAGGCATGCGGACAGGTTTTGCATGGCCCAAATTATGCCTGCACCATTGCGTCGCACCCTGAAACAGGAATTGCTGAGCCCAAAACGAGAGACGAGTGGCATGGAATCCTCATGACAAAAACAAAATTGCCTGGTTCATGGACAAAGCGCAAACAAACAAAACATTGAAAGGACAGAGATACTGACTGATACACCGGGGACACGGCTCTGCAATCCCCACGGCACACATGTCATTTGCACCCGCTCAAGGAGCGGATACGACGGGAAAGGACAAAAAGGTGGAACACAATCTTTGAGGGCCCACTTGCCCTCGTACTCTCAAGAGATGAATGCAGCCAGGGTGAAACTCTTCAGTCGGACAAGCTAAGTAGGTCGGGTCGTCACAGCCCAGCAGCACACACACAAAAAAGCTCTGACACGAGGAGATCACTTCTTGAAGCCAGAGTACTTGGTCTTCTTGTCCGCGGGCTTGAGAATCTGGAAGGAGCACATCAGGCTCTCATCAACGCTCATCATGGCACCCGCGTTGTCAAATTCACCGCAGTAGTTTGGTGCAGAGAAGATGGTCACGAGCTGACGCTTGGCAAAAAACTCGTAGCCGTCTTCCACCACTTGATGGGCACGGCAGATGAGATCCATGTCGTGCTTGTGCAAAAACTTCTCAACCACCTCGGGGCCAAAGGTGAACGAGACACCGCGATCGTTCTCGCCCCAGCCCGTTGAGTCCTTCTCGGGATCAGCCCAGAGGAGATCGCAGAGGAGGCCCGTGTCCGGCACGTCGGTAGGGCGCATGATACGGCGGATCTGCTCCATGGACTGCAGGTCGGGGGAAAGGCCACCATGGCAGCAGAAGATCTTCTCATCAATCAGAGCAGCAACGGGCAGGCAGTTGAAGCAGTCGGTGAAGGTCTTCCAGAGCTTGATGTTGTAACGGCGCTTGCACTCATCGTAAAAGCCGTAGATGCGGTTGATACTGGCGCACTCATGGTTGCCACGCAGCAGGAAAAAGTTCTCGGGGTATTTGATCTTGTAGGCCAGCAAGAGGCAGATGGTTTCCAGGGACTAGAACAAGAATACGATGTGTTCATTGATGAGATGGCGAATTACCCATCAAGACCACCGGCCCACCGGCCATTGTTTCCCCGTTAAACAGAAGGAAAGGTGCACACTCAAGCTTGATGGTAAGCCACCAATAGATCAACCCACCTGTTTGCCACGGTCAACATAGTCGCCAAGGAAGAGGTAGTTGGACTCGGGGGGGAAGCCACCATACTCAAACATGCGCAGCAAATCGTAGTATTGACCATGGGTGTCACCGCAGATGCGGAGGGGAGCCTCCAGCTCGAGGAGGATTGGTTGGTTGAGGAAAATCTCACGCGACTTGACACACAGACCGCGAATCTCAGCCTCGGTCAGGTCAACTGTACCACAGAGAGGGAGAGAGCGGGAGAGAGCGGGAGAGGGACAGCAAGAAGGGGGTCAGCACATGATTGATCGGCAGTTGCATAGTGGCAATCGCACAGGGGCTGCCCTTCGTGTGGCAAGCCGCGCAGCCAATAAACAATGGAAAAAAAATCGTGGAACAAATAATTATGTTTGACAACAAAAGACAGCTAAAAAATGCTTGGGGGGGAAAGCCAACTCTGAGCCTGCGAGCGATGTGTGACTGGCTGAGCGAGATACGAACCAGTCTTGCCAGGTCGGCTGCCGCGGACCTCGAGCAGCTTTGAGATGATCTTGTCAACGTCGACGGACGACATGATTTGACGGTGAGCTGGATAGCAACAGGGACGGCGACGATGACGACGAAAAGCTAAGATTGACCCAACAGAAAAAAAAGGGGGAAATGAGATGATACGAGGCGCGATCCGACGAGGAAATAAGAGGCGCTGTGGAAGACAGGCAAGCAAGTTGGAAGGGGCAGGCCTGAACCACCTGGGAACAAACAACACGAAAATAATGTGAAAAAATAAAATAAAATAAAAAACCAGAAAAATGGCAGCGGAGGATGCGAAGATGGTGAAGTCGGAAGAAAAGCGGAACACAACAACAGCGACGATGGCCGCTCAGACACGCCTGGACATACACCGGTGCCTCTCAATCAGTACCAGCGGGTTCAAGTCAATCAATGTGATGACTGGCAGTCCAAAAAGGGAACAAGCACCGAAATTGGGAACAAACCCAAATGCTATTGTGTCTGATTGTGCGCCTCGCCTCGGGGTGTGTGATGGGCTGGTTTGGCAGCCGCTTTGGGGGCAAAGAAGGGTTGAGGTGCCTTAAAACTAGTATGTGCTGATGGCAGTCTGCACTCCATATACACAGGCACACCTTTGCAGCTGTGTACGAAATGCAAACCGAGTCGAGAACAGCCGTCCTCAATGACCAAAGCCAAGGGCACCCGCGGCAGAAACGGCAGCGGGTTCCGATCTCTTACCGAGTGACCCTGCGCGGGAAATACAAAAGACCAAAGTGTGCGTGTGTGTGTGTGTGTAACTTGACAACACAACAAAACAAAAGAAGTGCAGTGGGTAGCTCGAGCCTCTGACCCCTCTCTCTCTCTCTGACTTTCTCTCTCTCTCTCTCTCTCTCTCTCTCTCTCTCTCTCTCTCTCTCTCTCAAGCCAACGTGGTAAGGCAAATAATGCTCAAGTTGGGGGCAAGGGGGGGCAAGCTTGGGACCTGACCAACTGGCTCATGGATCACTTGTATTGGGTGCAGATGAAAAATAGGGTCATTTTGATTGTCAAAAATTTGCTCAATTTGAACCCGATGATCTTCTCCTCAATATCACATTCCTCTCGGGAAATAAAGATCAGATTTTCGATTGTCAGATCTTTTATTGTTATGATCTCGCCTTCTCTCTTCTCTCTTTCTCTTTTCTCTCTTAATTTGTCAATCTCGCGCGGAAAGTAAAAAGTCCGGCGACCTGATTGCCTGCCTGGCTGGTGGTTTGCCTGTGATCCGGGTTCAAGTCGCCGATCGGCAGCTGGGCCGTCAGTGAGGTGCGTGAGCGATGAGTACAGCGTGCCGTTGGGATCAACTCAAAAATCGGGCCTGCTCGCCTGTTCTCACTGAACTGCCACAAACTTTTGCTTGCAGATCCAGATCAGTGCTGGCTTTTTAGCAAGATTTACCAAGCGCGCCGACGCCGACGGCAGCCTCACTGCCACTGCCACTGCCACTGCCACTGCCACTGCCACTGCCACTGCCACTGCCACGACTACCTGTTGTGCCCTAATACTCCTTTTGCCTGGCTGGATGTCCTCGGTGCTGGCTTGGGCTCAGCGACGCGCATCGCTGCACTCGCCCATGGCCAACGGACCGACTGGTGTGGCACATGTGCGGATCCTGGCCAGCTCAACCCACCTCCTCGTAGCATAGAAACATGTCGGCCAACTGGCGGTTTTTTCCAGGCGCATAGCCAACTTGATCCTTTGTCAGCCAGCCCTGCCCCCCAAGCACACGGCAGCTCGCGCATGGACCACGACGCCCGTAGCGGCATCACCCTTACGCTCGGAACTTGTCCGTCAATCAAGCAGAGATGGCCTCTCGTACGTCCCGCCCCGCCCGCGCGGCCCAGTGCTGGTCCTGTACTTTTGTATCTTTCTCCCCACATTGGTCTTCCTTCCCTCATCCTGTCGCAATGATACGACAAATGACTGCCCTTTCCCTTTCCCCGAATTACAGGCTCCAGCTCAGCACGCGCCTCGACCGGTAAGGGTCTTCCCCGTGCCCCGCGCACAACCGGTTCTCGTCGCTTGCCACCTCGACCTGGTCAGTAAAACTGTTGCACCCCCCAAGCGCGAGCAACCCTTGCTCCGTAGAGCCCTCTGGTGGTAAAATCACCCCTGCATACAAGACGGCTGGTTTTGAACATCATATCCCATCCCTGCCCATCTCAACTTGCAGGCGCCTCAGCCACCAATAGCACGCCTGTCCCGCCAACCGCGAACAAGAATGGCCCCTCTTCCGTCGACCAGGTAGACCCTGTCACCTGATGCTCGGTTTTGCAAGGATACAATACAAAGCGCCAGGCGTGGACTCAAGGTTATGCACCTCCGCATTGCAGAAGCTGCAGCTGGCAAAGGCACGCCGTGAGGCGGCCGAAAAGTCTCGAATTGAGGAGCGTGAAAAGGCCGCTCAAGCCCTTCAGGTATCCCACAGCCCGCGCGCCTCTGTCACCTCCCGCCCAACGCTACCTTTGCTCGCTCGTACCGCAAAACCCTGTCATTGTTGTAACTTGGCTGCCGCACCTGTGCCGCCACTCCGCCCCGCCACTTAGACCAAGACTGAAAAGGCTCAAATTCGTCGCGAGGCGTCCGCTGCCGATCGCAGCGCCCGCACTGCTCGCCCTCTTACCAGCCCGCCCGCCCCGGCCGTGGCTCAACCTAGCCCATCCGAGTTAACGGCCTCACCTGACCCTGATCCGTCCACCCCTCAAGGCCCGACCTCCGTTTCAAGTGACGTTCCGCTCCACACGCGCCGCCAGCGTACCATCAGCTCGAATTCGGACCGCCTGTCCCGCACCGCATCTGGTGGTAGCGACGACAGTAGCCTTCCTTCGGTCCGTACGCTGACTGCACTGCATTACTCCTCCCCCTCTGCTCCCTCTCGCTTGGCTCACTGTACGAACTTGCTTCGCCCAGGCACGCTCCAAGCGCAATTCCCTTGCACTCTACGGCAATCTCGAGCTGGGCGAGCCTGCTGCAGCCTCGTCTCCCCTGGTACGCCTTTTGTTGTCCTCGTCACACCTCGTACCTGCGCCAAGCACATGTGCCCATCCCGTGCTTCTTGACCCAGGGCTCATCCCCTACCCGTTTCTTGCTGACTTTTAGAAACGCACGCAGAGTGTGGCCGACGACACTGCCAGTGTCAGTGCAACGGCCTCCCTTTCCCAACAACAGGACAGTGTGATGTCAGAGGCCAAGTCACAGGCACAGCGCTCTTTTCGCCGCTCCTTACGACGAAAGGAATCGGATGCCCTGCTCCGCGAGCTCGTACCTGATGCCTTTGACGATGACAGCGACGAAGAGAACGGGTCCCGGCGCCCCTCAAATCAACAACCCACTAGCATTGCCGAAGTGTCAACAAGCAATGAGAGTGAGTCGGACGAGGAAAATGTTGCCAAGCAGAACCAAGATGTGCCCCGACAGGCTGGCTCAGGTTCAAGCACGCCCGTATCGACTCCCGACGCTCTGTCAGTGGCCAGCAGCAGCGATGATGACAACGAAACTGATGCAGACGGCCACAACTTTTTGGCACCCCCAGACCTGGAGACTGGAGACAATTCTTGCTTTGGCTCGTCTACATCCCTGGCATCTACTGACCCTGTGTCTTCCCACCCGGCATGGGCCAACGTTGAAGTCGAGATTGATCGTCAAAAGGGCCCCATGGGCTTTACCGTGCGCTCCGATGACACCCTCTTGGCCAATCACCGCAACGTCGTTGGTATGTCTCATTGTACACTCGGTCCCTTTCACCCCGCCCCCTCACAAAGACCATCCGCAAACCCTTGCAAGTCACGCTTTCTCATCTTGTTTTCCCCGTGCTCTGCTTTTTCTCTTTGAACTCAATTTTACTCATTTGTGGTGGTGTTTGTGGGAAGGCACTGTCAAGTCGGGTTCCATGGCAGAGAGCGCCGGACTTCAACGCCAGGACGTCCTTGTTAGCATCAATGGCAATGACGTCACCAACACAAGCAAAGAAACTGTTCGGCGCCTTCTTCAAGCCTCTGACCAAATTGTTTGCCTTGTGGTCAAGCGCAAGGACGCGCCCGCCGACGCAAACAGCCTCGCAAGGGAAGAGCAAGTGCGAACGGCTTCGCTACCAAATCAGCAAGCTCCTATCTTGGTGCAACACAGACCGCCTGCTCCCAAGGCCGAAAGCACGCCTGTGCCTGTGCCCGAGTCTGAACCCAACTCTGTGTTTGTGCCCGAGTCTGAGCACGTCCCTGTGCCCCAGTCTGGTCTAAAGCCAGACTTGCACGACAATGATTCTCGTGATGTGGCGGCTGGAGGCTTTAGCCCCATTCCCGAGGATGTCGAGGCAGCACTCGAGGCCGCCATGGATGATGCGCCCGCAAGTAAATCCTCCTCGAACCAGACCACGAACTCACTTGCAGATGCAATGTCAGCCTTCCTGACCTCCGATGAAACTGAGCCGCCCCTCAAGAGCCCCGCCAGCTCGGTAAAACTGGAGACAGTTAATCTGGATGACGCATTTGAGGAGCCTGAGACACTGAGTACCACTCCGCTGAGCTCGACCACAGCCCACAAGCCCGCCATTGCAGCCACTGTGACGCCCGTCATTGTTGAGCACGAGATCTCCTCCTCGGCAAACGAGAGCCTACATGACGACGCATCTGACCCTGGTGCAGAGGCGTCATCGATCGCACAATCCGATGGCAGTTTGCACTCTCGACTTTTGCAAGCTGAGGCGGCTGCTCTGGCTGCGGGCCGGCCGCGCCGGCGTTCCATCTCCGCCTCTTCGGGCTTGTCTACAGATGAGGGCTTCCGACTTCAACAGGCACCACGCTCCTCCCAGCCTCACCACGAATATCTCGAACTGCAGCAAAACGCTCTGCGCCAACACTTTCAAGACCTCCAGCGCAACGATGGGCTTCAGAGTGAATTCGCCACCATCGAGGCCGCAGACGTTCGTAACACTAGCGTGGCTGCTAAGCGCGACGCCAATACTCATAAGCATCGCTACTCCAACATCTTTGCCTATGACCACACACGAGTGCGTGTAACCCCTGACGATGCCGCACTCAGATCAGACCCGGCTCCAAATGGTGATCTGACCACCGATGAGGGACTGGATGTGATCAACACCGACTACATTGACGCTAATTTTATCGCTGGCGTCAGCGGTAAAGCCGAGTACATCGTCACCGAGGCCCCCATACCGGCAACCATGAATATCTTTTGGCGGATGGTGTTTGAGCAGGGTGTGTCTGCTATCGTGGTTCTGACTCGTGAACTTGAGGCCGGGCGCCTCAGATGCCATCGCTACTGGCCCGAGGAAGGCCAGAGCACCATCTATGCTGACATCACGGTCACAACCACTGCGTGGCGTGAGCAGCCGCGCAGTGCGCGTCGCACCCTGCGCCTCGAAAGACCTGGGTGTGAACCGCGGCGCATTGAGCAACTTTTGTTCACAGCATGGCCCGAAACTGGCGTGCCTGCGGACCCCAATGCCTTTCTCGACTTTCACCGTGAAGTCCAGCAGTGCACGCGACCCAATGGCAATTTGACGGCCCCAATGGTCGTACACTGTTCCTCGGGCGTGGGCCGTAGCGGTTGCTTTGTTGCCTTTGATCGTCTAGCTCAGAGTGCCGCTCGCCAGCTCACGCCTCTGTCGGTCAAAGCCACCATCCTCTCTCTGCGCCACGAACGCATGCTCATGGTACAGACCGTGCTTCAGTATGAGTTTGTGTACAAAGCTGTTCTGCGCTATCTGGATTTGGAGCTACAAAAGCACCGTACAAACGTGGCGTCGTCTTCGGCCTCTGCCAACCCATCGGTACACCGCGGCAACGTCAGCGACCGTGGCGCCGAGGGTGCCAACTCACAAACCCGCCGCCGCCGTGCCAGTCAAGCGCTGGATGACGAAGCAGTCCTTCACACCGGACCTGGACCCAACGCGGCCACGGATCAGCAAGTTCAGCTTTTGCGACGCAAGCCCTTGAAGCGTTGGGATACAGACACGGTGGCCGGCTTTGTGCAATACATAGGGCTCCCCTCACTTGCCGTCGCAGTCCATCGCCTAGAGTTGACGGGCCGTGAGCTGGCGCGCCACCCCTCTCAAGTCGCGCAAGCTCTGTCCATCCATCGCTCAGCCGCTCGTGAGTACTTTCTGGCAGCGCTCCTCGCTGTGCAGCACGA